TTTTAAAAGATAAATTCAACAAGAATCTTGTTTATCTTTAAAAAGAATGTTTTTCTGTCACATTTTCAGGTTTCATTAATAAAACCATTTTGATTATTCTGACAAATTTTGTAATTATGTTTTGAACGGTGACAGTGATGCTACCAAGTAAGAAATTATGGCTAAAAGATCTAAAGGCCAAAAAAGACACTGAAATGAAAAAAAAAATGCAGAAAGTAAAAGGGCAAACAAAATGGTGTTAAAAAAATAACAAACATGCCAGCATATAACTTGAATCTGAAGAGTTTTGCATTTCATTGGATCTTATATGCTCTGCAGACTTAAACTCTAACTCAGATGCACGTTGGATCAGATTAAATAATTTACTTTGTAACACAACATATGCAGACTATATCTTTAGTAAATAAAAAAGCAGTATTTAGATTTTTTTTATTTTGTATTATTCTGCTGTCCTACTTTACAGCCTTTTGGTAAGCATTTTGCCACTGGGATTTAATGAAAATTTGTCTCCCCCTTGTGGCCAATGCTGAAAAAATAAGTTCAAGTGCACCAGTTTACTACAGAATCTTTGATTCGATTAAAATGAACTCTGGTGCGACTGCTCTGTTAGTGTAGTTTGAGTAAGTGTGAACGCTGCCATCCGAACCCTGGTGTGCATCAAACAAGCGGACCGAGACCCATGAAAAGGTGATTCTCTGTCCGCTTCCAAACAAACTCTGGTGCGGTTCGACTGAAATATGAACGCAACACGGACCAAAGACATCTAAACGAACCAAAAACAGGACGTGATGTCACAAACTGAGACCCTAAAAATGACAGAATGCTCAAGCATATCTGGTTCTTCTCATCATAGGAGCTACACTTCACAGTTATCGTAATAGTCGGAAACACATCTCACAGATCTCTGTTTGTAGACTAGGTCGATTTTCAGATAATGTGACACCCTCGGGCATTTTTGAGTAAAAGTTGGCAAACAGACTTTTCTAGGGGTATTTTTTCTGCTGAATCCATTTTTGCTGTTTGCCAAGCTGTATCTCTTATGTGAAACTCAGTAGAGCGCAAACTCCAAGATGACCTCTAAAATGTCAGGAAATTCCATATTTTAAAACTTTACATCATGCGCGACATCAATTAATGAGTATAGAAAGTTTATTTAGGTGGGAATTAAGGTATTTGTATGTGACAATGATAATTGCATTATTTCTCATTGTAGTCATTTGTTTGGAGTCACATGCATACTATTGTCTTTGGTTCAAAGTGTGTAAATTGAGTTTGGAGTTATCAAATAGGTTTTTTATTCTACTTTCTATTTCTATTACTTTCTGCAGTTATTTCCACACACAAAGTATTTCTCATCAGAATTAATTTCTATATCCAAAGAGCGACATGAACCGACAAAAAATATTTCCAATTGTGGAATTGTACCCATGAAGTTGGTCAGATTATAAGATCACCATTATGGAATCTGTGTGTAGTTTGAAGCCCAATGTCATTCTTTTGTAGTAAGAGAAGAGGAAATGATATCATGCGTTCCGGAGAGCCTTTTCATGTTCCTTCGCTTATTGTTTGGTGGACAGGGTCTCTTAGAAGTGGATCATGATGATGATGATGCTCAAAATAAAAAAGATGACACTCAAAGTAAGGTTCTTAGTGTTGCTCAAGACCTAGTGAACAACTTCAGTTGTGGTAAACACTGGACTCCCAAGCATATTGGTCTAGCAAACACATTGCACCAAGCTACCAGATCAAAATAGCTGGTTGAGCTGTTTCACATGGCTGGTCACTTCATAAGCTACAACAACTTAAAACAGGTTAATACAGCTTTGGCAGAGAGCACACTTCGTACAATGGACGTGGATACAGGAGCAGTGGTTCCACCAAATTTTGTATCCAACAGATTTGTGCACTTCACATGTGACAATATTGACATCAATGATAGCAGTTTTGATGGTAAAAACAGCTTTCATGCAACTCAAGTCGCTGGATGGCAGAGGTCCAGAAGCAGACATGGGGCTGAATGATCTCCATCCATCTACAAAGACTAGTCTTAAAGTTCCTAAAATCATGGAACAACATTCTCCAGCTGCAGTTGTGTCAGGAAAAACAGAACCAGGATCAATTATGCAAACCAACTAGGAATGGTACAATGAGGAACTCCTTGATAATCTGTGGAGCATGTGTAGCACTTGCCAAGACATGGCGTTTTTTTTTTTCAAACGGCAAGATGCAGATATTAAGACAGGTTAGACTAATTTCAATCAGACAATCTGCCCGACCAACTCAGAGGTCACAAGAATTGGCTATATGCCAATTGTACAAGCTCCCGCCCATGAACTCGACACACTCAACACAGTAATACAGAGATGCAGGCACATTGCAACAGCACTTGGTCAACAACACATGGTCCTTACAGTTGACAAAGCTCTTTACTGTAAGCTTATGGAACTCAAATGGGCAAAAGATGAATATCAGGATTTTCTGATCATCGGAATGGGTGGCCTGCACACATCTCTAACCTTCCTGAAGGTTGCAATACACATGCAACCTACGATTGTACACATGCAATCGTCTGGTTTGATGCAAGCATGGATTGAAAGTGGACTTTTTGGTCCAGGTACAGCAGAACAAGTCATCCTCGGCAAAGGGAAGTCTTACTCCAAACTGCTTTGTGGCGCCAAGTCAAGTCAAGTCATCCTCATTTATATAGCGCCTTTTAACAATGTAGATTGTTTCAAAGCAGCTTTACAGAGATAAACATATAATTTAAGGTAACAGAGATTGTTTTGGTTTTATAGCGGTTCTTGAATAATGTTATTTCCAGCTAAAGTTAGTTTTGATTGTTTCACTTCCGTCGAAATGATCATTTGTTAATAAATTAGGGGCCGCTAAGACGACACCGTTCTCTCTAAACATTGATGGCGTTCACATGCGCATTAAGAATTGATTCTGTAGTTATGTGCGTTTGAATATATGTGCGCAAGTTTGTAATTCCCTACAAACCCTGCCTAAACAAACTCTTTGTCTTGCCTATACATTTGATACAGAATTTTGTTTTATTTTATCACTTTGGGTTGGTACGCGAACCGAATTTTCCACAACGCTTTATCTGTAGAGTGGAATAGGGATCCTCCATAGGGAGAGGCTAGTTGGCACTTCAGCACTGCGTTGTCATCGGGTCCAGGTGAAGGTTCTTCAAGCAAACAAGCGGTATGTCCCTTCCTCCGCCAGTGGGGTGAAGACTGGAAGATTCTACACTGCTGCCCATCTTGATGTCACTTCCTCCAGTCCCAGTAACTGTTTGGAACTGATCAGCTGCAGCTGCTCCTCAAGATGTATGAGTGCACGATGTATATGTAAGAAGTTTCGTCTGCGTTGCTCTGCTGCAAGCAAGTGCAAGACAAGTGATGCAGAATGTAGCAATTGCTGAACTGAATAAGAGCACTGCTCTATGTTGTTGTGATCATATTTGAGAATCTTGTCGTACCATTGTTTAAGCTTATGTTATGTCCAACTTCATAAGGTAATTTTAAGCCAAGTTTACTGTATTTCCTTTATCTGTTCAAAGCTTATGTTAGTGGTGTGACACATTACCGTGATATGTGTTGGTAATTTGGTCATTTGTTGCTCAATTCGTAATATTTACAACCAATCTTTCTGGGAATATATTTTGCATAAATAACCCAAAAGAAAATTTAGTTTGGTGAAATTTCAGTCCTTAAACTTGTTTAAGTATTAAACACTTTTAACATAATGTAATAAGATGATGGTTTAAGAAATAGGCCTTTTGCTGTCACCAGCATGATGTTGATCTTCTTACATGGACATACTCAAATACACAAAATAACAGGTCAGTGTCTACCAGAAATATTGTAAGACAGAATATCTAAATTGTTCTGACTATTCAGTTTGTTTCCTTTACTCAATAAATGCTATATCACAATAAAAACAGTTTATATTTGAGCCAGTGTTGAGAAATTAGCTCATTTTAGTGTACGAGGCAGTCATCTTGGATTTTACACTCCAATGAGTTTCACGGAAGAGATACAGCTTGGCAAACAGCAAAAATGGATTCAGCATAGAAAATACCCCTAGAATAGTCTACTTGCCAACTTTTACTCAAAAATGCCAGAAGATTTTTTATTTAGGCACATTTTTATGATTTCAACCTGATCTATTGTGGCCAACGGAGGAATTCCTCCGTTTAGTCCAAAAAATATGGACAATGTATTATTTTCTGTTTTGGTCCGAACCAAAAGAACAGAACTACAAGTGTGAACACACCCGTAAACAACAAATTGGCTCACCATCACTTTCATACAAGGTTAATTGTGTACAGAGAAACAGCTGGGACAATGAAAGTCCTTGACTGGGCCAAATGTTTTCAAAATCAATAAGAATGAAACCACTTTTAACAAATTTTAATACATAAGAAAAAGACCCCAGCTCCATCATAGAAGCCATCTGCAACCATTTGATTGACACCACTTTCTTGAAATTTGCCAAAATGCTCAAAGTATGATGGATTTGCAATGTTCATGAGCTAAAATGAATAAATGATAGTGTTAAAACACTGTTGACACATTTTAAACAGCTCAAAAATAAATAAATAAAAACCCTAAGTAAGGGTTTTCCTCAAAACACAGATCAGAGGTGTACTGAAATGGGAGTGATTCTGATTTACTTTATTTTTTATTCCTGGAATTTTCTGACATGTTCGGGGAGGTTTTACATGTGCTAGATTGGATAAAACAGCACAGAAGATGTGCCAACTAAAAAGAGTACATCAAATATTAACTTGAGGATAGTAAACAGAACTCTGGCGGTGGGTATCAAAGGTGTTGTGTTCTTCCCTCTTCATGTTATGATAGTTGAGGCAGAGGCGGGATTTCGGTCTTAATTCCCTTGAGTGAGATAAGATTTTTCTAAAACACCTCTATTGACACCTCAGCAGGGAGAGCAGAGAGAGCAAGTCAACTGTGGAGAGCAGAAGGTGGTCTTACCGTAGTGTGCTTGGAAGGCCTGGGGTTTGACTACCTGACTGCAGTGGCTGCACATGACCAGGTAGAAGTCATCCTGTGCAGGACATTGGCCAAAGATGGGCATGTCTGCGAAAACACACACAAACACTCATTAGCAGGTCAAAATACCAAGTTTCGTGCTCTTCAGACAAGCAGGCGATTTGAACAACGCAGTTACACATGTAGCAACCTGCATGACTGTAGAAGCTAATATTATTAATCCGCTTGTTAGAAAAACCTAAGACAAATGAATAAATATGGCTTTTCAAATCAGCTGACAATCATAATAACCTTTTTGTTTTTTTATTATATTGATTTTACTTTGAAGAATCAAACATAAATTGAATAATCAAAAGATGTTTTAAGAAGTAATAATTTATTTTTCAAATAGAATAATAATAAAGACATCTACAACTGATAATTGATCAATTTATTCATTCAAATATAAAAATGTAAATAAATAAATGACAAACTGACAAATAAATAAACAACTAAACTGTTTATTATTGTTTAAAAATTTGTGATTACATTTTTAAAAAGCATTTAAAGCAAATAGACAGAAACTATCTGAAAACACTTTATAAAAATACAGGATTTGCGTTTATTTTTTTATTATTAATACTTTTCTAATACTATTCACCAAGGATACATTCAATTGATCAAAAGTGACTGTAATGATGACATTCACAATGTTACAAAATATTTCTTTTACAATGCTTCTTTTTGAATTTTCTATTCATTAAATAATCCTGAAAAAATGTATCACAGTTTCAACAAAAAAAAAAAAAAACTGTTTTGATAACACTGATAATAAGAAATGTTTCTTGAGAAGCAAATCAGCATATTAGAATGATTTCTGAAGAATCATGTGACCCTGAAGACTGGAGTATTGATGCTGAAAATTCAGCTTTGCCATCACAGGAATAAATTACATTGTAAAATGTAAAATTTAAAATTGCAATAACAATTTTTTTTTTACTGTATTTTCAGTCAAATAAATGCAGCCTTAGCATAAGAGACTTATTCAAAAACCTTACAGATCCCAAATTTTTGAATAGTAGAGTACAATTAACAACATTTTTAAATTAAGTAAACATCAAAATCACGCATGTGTGGGTTTTGGGTTGCATGTTCTTGTGCAGCTTTCACTTTCATTGTGGACAGACAGATGACTTCCTGCTGGAATCAGGTCACTCCTGTCCTGATTAGGACTCGAAGTAAACGAGTGTAAGATGCATGTAGAATCTGACCTAACCAGTGAATGGAGCCCGGACTGAATCTGCCATCAATTATACACACACTAAATGCCCAAGTTAACTTGTTTTCACAAAACACACTGTTAATAAACAGTGTCTATCCACTACACTGTCAACGGCCCAGTTCAGGTGAGGCCACCCAGGCCATTCCGGGAAAAGCATCTGGGTGAGTTCACGCAGTACAGACGGTCACTCGCAGCAGCACTACTCTGTTTTCATAAGAAAGGAAACAAATAAGTGATAAGGGATAGCCAGCTACTGTGCCAGCGTTTCAAAGGTTGCCCGAGGAGGGGGTCCTCTGGCAAGCGAGGTGTGTGGGAGAGCCAGTGAGGAAAAGAGTAATTGAGTGGGAGAACGAGGACAGGAAAGAAAGTGAGACTGCAGATTAAGAGTGGCAGTTGTAAAGTAGTGAAATCTGCAAGGCCGAAAGATTATAGAGCAAGTGGAGGAGAGCCGTACAGTAGGTGGCATTTGGCGTTCAAGATTCATACTTTCAGAAAGTGCCCTGAATTGACAGCAGAGTTTGTGGTAAACAGTCTACCCAAACCGCACAAATAACTGCACTGAAAATAGATGAAAGCAGTAGAACAAAATATCTGCATGTTAAAAAAATAAGGAAAGAAAAAAAATGGCTTCTATTCTTAGCCATTTAGCAAGGCTTAATGTGGCCCCTGCTCCAAATGCAAACTACCTGTTTCGTACACTCAGAGAAAACATCTAAAATACTTGACCTGTCTTGAGGTCAACAACATGCAAATGACCATTTTCAAACCAAACAGATTGTATGCTGAACCAGGGAAAAACAACATTATTTGTTTATGGGCAAAACGTTCAAATAATCAGTGCGATTTGAAAGCCACTGTAAATGTCATTCTTCGAATATAAATAGACACACCTAAAGCTGTTTATTTATTAATTAACATTTTAAAATTTTAATAATCACATTTCAAACTGACAAATAAGTAAAAATCCAAAACGATTTAATAATACACTAATTTTTTATACAAATGGACAAAGAAAAGTACATTTTAAAACTCAATATGTTTGTTACATTCATTTGTTGCATAACTATATTGTATATTATAGATTAAATGTGTTAATCTTTTCCACACAATGAAACTTCTTGTGATCCTGGCTAATGCTACAACATCAGATCCGGTGGTTTGAATTCAGATGCGTCTGTTTTTTTTTTTAAAATGCAACAACATCAGTTATTTATGATGACGTTAAAAATGGGTTTTGAATCATGGCCAAGCAGCTGACATGTTGAGTCATGGTGCTAATGCAGGAGATGTGGGTTTGATTTTGACTTGTGTACTTTTTTTATAGAATAATATTAAGAAAAATTCAATAAGATCCATTTTTCACCATGGCGTTGAGAATGTGTTTGGGATATAAAGGCCTAGCAGTTGCACGATGAGTCTTGGTGCTCATGCAGGAGATGTAAATTTGTGTCCGGCTTGTGTCCTTTTATGAACTATTTGTTAAACAATCCTACAAGATCAGTTATTCTCAATGTGTTTGGGATGATGCCCTTGATGCCCATGCAGCAAATGTGGGTTTGAGTCTGACTTGCATTCAAATAACACGTCTCCGACCAACTTTCACTGGGTTAGATATTGAAATGCACTGACAATACATCTTCACATTTAACTTGCAACACCTTTTGTAAAGACTTCATAAACATAAACCAAAGGGGTAAACGAGCAGCAAGCTTTATATTCGGAAGTGTTTTGTCAGCTGAAGATGTGGAGCTCAGAGAGGCACTATTAGTCTGAGAGCCAAGAGGTTAATTAGTGTGAGTGATTAAGAGAGGGGACAGGAGCAGCGCTGTTACTGCTGTTCCACTGCAGCTCCTTCACATAGAGACACAAGGACACTTCAAAAAACATCACTGGCTGAAAAGATGACATCGAGTCGCCAGCGTCACCTGGGCGTACCTGTGATGCTCTCACAATAATCACTGCAAATCAGAACAATAGCCTCCAGGAATTCACAAAAGATGAGGAAGTAGATAGCCAGGGCTAGGGTTTTGATCAAGAGTTATTCTGATTCAAGATGTTTGCAATCCTAAATCTTGTCATCTTTTCAGAGATATACTAATATATGGCGCACTTACATTCCATTATTAATCGAATTAAATGTGTGAGTTGCTGCCTTATTTAGTATGTCTGTTATAACTGCGTCCAAGTAACCAAACCAGTTTGGTCATGTTCAATGAAATGACTACATAACACATAATTAAAAAACAGCTCCCTTTTTTAATCTCTAAAAACATCACTGTGCGAGTGCAACTGAATTGTATTAATTTCCAAACAAAACAATTCAAAAGTTGAAGCGTGATCTGACGACATAAGGACAAACAGGCTAAATGAAAATCACTTTATCAAATATCAGTCTATGCTTTTAGGTGTATGTTAAACATCATGTTACATTTATGGACATTTAGCATGCTAATACATTTCCTTTCAAACATTTGTGGTCTGTTAGATTGTTTAATGTTTTTGAAAGAGGTCTTTTATGCTCACCAAGGCAAAGTAAAAACAGTAATATTGTGAAATATTGTCACATGATCCTTCAGAAATCATTCTAATATGCTGATTTGGTGCTCAATAAAGATTTCTTATTATTATCAATGTTGTAAACAGTTGTGCAGCTTAATACAGTGCCTTGCAAAAGTATTCGTCCCCCTTAATTCTATATTTTTTTTTACATTTTTGTTATGTTGCTGCCTTGTGTAAAACTACTTTTTCACATCAATCTACACTCCATACACCATAATGACAAAGTAAAAAACAGATTTGTGAAATAAGTACATTGCATAAGTATTCAAACCCTTAACTCAGTACTTAGTTAAAGCACCTTTACAGCCTCAAGTCTATTTGGGTATGATGCGACAAGCTTTGCACATCTGCATTTGCTGATTATCTGCCGTTCTTCTCCTCAGATCCCCTCAAGCTACATAGGGTTGAATGGGGACCGTCGGTGGACAGACATTTTTAGGTTTCTCCAGAGATGTTCGAGTGGATTCAAGCCCAGGCGCTGGCTGGGCCACTCAAGGACATTCACAGAGTTGTCCATAAGCCACTCTTGCATTGTCTTAGCTGTGTGCTTAGGGTCATTGTCCTGTTGGAAGGTGAACCTTCTTTCCTGTCTGAGGTTCTAAATGCTCTGGACTAGGTTTTCATCCAGGCTATCTCTATATTTTGAAGGCATTGAGATTTCCTTCTACTCTGACGAGTCCCCCAGTCCCTGCTGCTGAAAAACACCCCCACAGAATGTGAAAAAAGGGGTACAAATACTTTCGCAAGGCAGTGTATTTTTCTGCAAACCATGATACATTTTTTTTCAAGATTCTTTGGTGAATAGAAAGTTATAAAAACAGCGTTTGTTTGAAATATCATTTTTTTGGCAAGAATGTAAAAAGTCTTTACTGTCACTTCTTTACATTCTTCCTTTCTGTATTTATTTCTTTAAAAAAAGTAGTAATAATAATCTTAAAAATAATAAATAATAATCTTTCCGACACCAAACTTCTGACTGGTATATACATGGCCTAGTACACACACTCCAGATCATTAAAACTAGTGCTGTAAATCTAACTCATTAATTTTATACAATTGATAATATTACAAATATTTAACTTAATTTGACATGGCCTCTAAATTTTTTTTTTGAAAAAACATTAAGATGTGACAACAGCTGAAGTCTGTCTGCCAGATGCATACATATGCCTGACATATTTCTGTATCGTCTTATATTCTATACAAATGTTGGGGGGATTTTTCTCAGCAGATATTCAAAGCCTTAGTCATATAAGTGGGCAAGGTG